GAAAGTAACTAAGTACATTTACTCAAGTACAAAGCAGTAATTCAAATGAAGTGCATATAAACTAGTTAAAACTTGACCAGCTACAACATTAAATGTGATGTACTTTTGTTTAAGTAACCTTTTGAATGCTGGACTTTTACTTGTAACAGTATTTTTACACTGCTGTATTATTACTTTTGCTTAGTAAATGATCTGAGTACTTTCACCACTGGTTATACAACAAAGCATTTATCAGATTTAACTCATTGTTTAATCATCTTAAGGGCTCCATCAGTTTTGGTTCATATTGTTACGACATTGGAGCTGAAACAAAGACGTTTGAGGAGGCAAAGCGAGCATGCTCAGAGGCGGGCGCTAACCTGGTGGATGTCGCCGACAGGTACAAGTCACGTCTGACACTCTACTGAGTTAGAGTCTCAGCTAGAACTTCATCTTAGTTGCATGTCTGTAGCATTGTGTTGTCTCACAGTACTGAGTTTTCCATGACATCCAAAAGAAGTGAACATTCTGGATCAGCAGATCCAGATCAGACTTTGGTGTGTGGTGGATCTTGCTATATTTGTCCAAGTACTGTGTGGATTATGCATGGAGTTTGAAGCAAAAATATTGAAATCTCACAGTGGTGCCGAATCCTTTAAAAACATCCTGGATCCAGATGATGATTCGGATCAGCACCAAAATGCCCTATCAACGATTTCATCAACAGTCAGTCGTTACTTTTTGATTTATGCTTTGAACGAACAAACAACAAATGCCAGTAAAAACATACCTCTGCCTTGGCAGAGGTTGTAACAAATCACATCACTCTTTATTGTGAAATTTATTGTTCACCTTTTTGCTTTTATGTTTTCATGCAGATATGAGAACGCCTTCCTGGTCAGTTTGATGGGTTTAAGACCAGAGAAGTATTTCTGGACTGGTTTTTCTAACACAGAAGACAAAACCATGTTCAAGTGGTCCACCAATAGAAAGGTCACATTCACTCATTTCAATGTGGGCATGCCAGGTACAGCACACTTTCTTTAGCTGTACAGTACATCTAATGATTTTTACATTAGCTACTGCAGAGTCATGAAGCACTGGTAGTTTATTTTTTTAAAGCCACACTGGCTGCATGGCTCTTTGGATGGTAATCTTGGTCTGTTTTTAGTCCAAACTGTAGCGGCTATGGTTTACCATGCAAATGTATCCTAATGACACATTTTGCATTTGTAGCTCTAAGTGAAGGATTGCCATGCAATGTAGCACACACATTCATATCCCCCTCAGGCTGAATTGTAAGACCTTTTTATCTCTTATTTATGGGGGTGAACACTTTGTCTAATTTGTTATCATACACATTGTAAAACTAAACACATTCCCATTAATCCTAGTCATGGTAGACTACGATGGTGATGTGATAAAAATGCCTTTTAAACATTAGCCTCATTTATATTTTACCACTGATTATAATCTTTATATTCCAGAGCTCATTTTATCAATAGTCCCAATTTTCCCATTTCTTTTGGTGTTTCCTAAAAGACAGAAAACAAGGATGCGTTGCCATGACAACTGGGATTTTTGCTGGATTATGGGATGTCATCAGCTGTAGCAACAAGGAAAAGTATATCTGCAAGAAACTAGCAGAAGGTGCAGCCACAACGACAGCCCCACCCACCACCCTGGCTCTGAGCTGTGCATCTGGGTGGACCCCAGCTGCCCAGAGGAACATCTGCTACAAAGTAGGAGGACAAACTGAACTAATCTGTGAAATCTGTGCAGTTTTAAGTACATAAAACCTGACTTTCCTTTTTCACTTATTACAAAGCTTTACAAGAAAAATGCAGACCTTAAGAAGACTTGGCTTGAAGCACAAACCTTCTGCAGGACCATCGGTGGGGACCTGATGAGCATACACAGTATGCAGGACCTAAACAATCCTCCGTATGTTGCCATATCAGTTTGGACATGTATAGCTATAGTTTATGCTAATCAACCATTGAAGTAATCAATACTGTTGTTTTCTGCTGTTATAAAGGTTATATTCTTCTGATTCAGCTTGGATTGGCTTTTCCCTGGGTACAAATCAAGGTTTTGTCTGGAGTGATGGATCACCTGTATGTAGTACTTCATAGTTATCACTAAACGTTTTACTCTGTGTCTTCCTCGGCCTAATTATGTGTATGTCAAATAACTGTGATCCAGAGTGATTTTGAGAACTGGGGCTTTGGGGAGCCAAATAACTACAATGACAATGAACACTGTACAGAAGTTAACTTTAACTACCGACGGCGCTGGAACGACCGGCACTGCGATGCCTACAATAACTGGATCTGCCAGATAAGCAAAGGTAAAGCTGACTCGTCTCATTAATAGTGATTTGTGATGGTACATTAGAGCTCTGCCCCACTGTTTATTCTTCCTTCATGGTTTTTGTATTTTCAGGTGTGACTCCCAAACCTGAACCTGCAATAACAGGTATGTTTCAGCAGTCGTCTGACCCTAGTGCAGTCCCTGTCCTTTATTCGTTGAGCTGCAGCCATTTTGTTTGCCCAGTCCTCTTTGGAGCCAAGCTGCTCTCGGGATGTCAGTGCTGGTCTGTTGTCTGGCTCATTAGTCAGTTCACTTCCAGACTCAACTATTAAAGTAATTAATGTACAAGCATTTATGAATTCTGGAGGATAAAGCCTAATGATTTTGGTGACTTTTCCTCTAGAGTATATTCATGTCTCCCTTAGTATGAACATTGTATCTGAAATAATTTGTCTTTGGCTGCTCCATCTCTAAAAGCCAACCCCCACCCACCCCCACTGTTTTGAAATTTTAGCTACTGAGAGTTCCTCATTGGCTGGCTGTTATAAATGACTACTCATGGTTCAAAAACATCTTATAACCTGTGGCAGGTGGGGCTAATTTACAGGACATATTTCATCGGCCATATCAGCCAATGTGTAAAATCTTAGTTAGTGCACCTTTACACTAAATTTGGAAAATAAACTATGTAAACATTATGTACACTTAACAGCGACATCTTGGCATTGTCACTGGGTGTGCTAGCATGGTGACATTATTGCTGCAGTAAAGCCTCACAGAGCTGCATGGCTGGAGAATTTCTTTTCCATCAATATTGGTTAATGAATCTGTTTTGTTCTTGTTACAGTATACAACACCACAGAAGACGGCTGGCTCATATACAATGACTCGCATTATTTCATCAACGCTCAGGACCTACCTATGGAAGCTGCCAGGGCCTACTGCAAAAAAAACTTTGCAGAACTTGTAGTCATCACAGGGGACAGTGAGCGAAGATTCCTCCGGAAACTGGCAAGATATTTAGCATGCATTTTTTAAATTAGAGTTCAAATGTTGTATGGGGCCTGGTCGGGCTGAGCCTGACCAGGCCCCATACAACATTTGAACTCTACAACAGCAACGTGGGGACGTTCTCCTGTGGGCCCACCACCTGCAGGAGGATTCGTAAGGGGCTGGTGCACAGTGGATTGGGCAGCAGGCAATGAC